CTGTGTGTGTGTCTCTGGTGTCCGTGCGTGTCCCTGTGAGCTCCCCCCGAGGCTCTCACTTCAGGCTCTTATCCCCCCGCACCCCCTGTGGCTGTGTTCCCCAGGCCGGTTGTCTCTGTGACCATAAAGCTTGATTTAGGGGGGCGATTATGCCTTTCGTCGGCTCTGTCAGCCCTGTTTCCTACCGTGCTGGGTCATCGAAGTTCAGGGAGTGAGGACACACGTGGCTGAGATTCAGCATTCTCTGGGATTCAGCATCCTACCATTCTCGTTAGGATGCCGAGAGCAAAACGGTCTCACCTCCTAGGAGACCAGGAGGCCCAGAAACACATGCCATAGGACCGCGCGCCCATAAACCAGCGCCGTGCATCGTGTTGCTGGGGACACAGGGCTCAGTCTCGGGGGGGCGGGTTGGGGGCAGCAGGGTTTACAAGGCTCTAAAGCCGCCAGGGCCCCATGCTTTGCATGGTTTTTATCGCACTGTGGCCACTCTCTCGTCCCCAAGGACTTTATTCTCATGCACGAGGATTAGCCGGCAGAGTGTCATAAACTGGAGACCGCACCTGTCTCGAAGAGGAATTTTATTCTCTTGGTGAATAGACCTGGGCCTGAGCAGAGCCTTGGGATCCTGAATTAAAACATGAAGCACACACTTATTCCATTTCTTCTCTGCTAAATGCACGATTCCATTTTTTGGTACAAATGCGCATTGATTAAACGTGAGTCTCACCAGGCACTGAACTAAAACCTGTGAACGTGTTATGGAAACCTACAACCTGCATGTCTTTATAAAAATATCCGTGATCTGAAAGCTGGAATGGAATGATTTATTCGTCCATCGCTGTGATGGATTGTTTCTGGGGGATTCACGGCGAACCATCAGAGAGTTGTCATAGTGATTCTTAGTGATAATGACTCGTTGGATGATTATTTTATTCTCTGGCTTTTGGCTTCTTGTGGGTAGATGGGGGACTGTTCTTGAATGATCGTCAAGGTCAACTAGCAGCTAGAAGCTGGTCGCTGTATAACCAGTTCACCGAAAGAAATGTCTCTAAGTCAGAACATCAGAACTCTTGCTCCGCAGAATTCAGTGAAAGAAGGTCTAGTCCTGAGGGTGTTCACTTATTTTTGACTAGAGAGGATTTTTTTTAAATTAAAGTATAGTTGTTTTACAGTGTTTTGTTCATTTCAGGTGTACAGCAAAGTGATTCAGTTACACATATGTACATATGTACATATATATTTTTTTTCAGATTGTTTTCCATTATAGGTTATTACAAAATATTGGGTATTGTTCCCTGTGCTATACAGTAGGTCCTTTTTGTTAATCTATTTTACATATAGTAGTTTGTAACTCTTAATCCCAAACTCCTAATTTATCCCTCCCCCCTTCCCCTTTGGTAACCGTAAGTTTGTGTTCTATGTCTGTGAGTCTCTTCCTGTTTTGTAAGTAAGTTCATTTGTGTCATATCTTAGATTTCACAAATAAGTGATATCATATAATATTTGCCTTTCTCCTTGTTGCTTATCCATCCTATATATAATAGTTTGCATCTACTAACCCCAAACTCCCAATCCATCCGTCCCCCCTCCCCCTCCCCCTCCCC